TGTTATTGTGACTGCTGCCAGATTACCAATGGCTAATTCACTATCACCCCTTCAATGATTTGAAATAAACCAACCTTAAAGAGAACCAGCAGCTATGTATTAGCATTATTTTCTGTTCCTGTTTATGCACAGCGGTCAGAAAGTAAAATTGGCTACTAAATGAAACGTCAGACAGGTCCACCCAGTGAAAGCAGTTTACGAGAGAAATTTTCAAAGGGAAATAGAAGACAGAGCATCTCAAAAACTTCTCAATGCTGTGCCAAATAATTGCACCACACGTTTGGCCAGTACACCCTACCTGTCGATCAAAAACTAATAAGTCCAACACAAGGTTGTCAGCCCACCTGGAACAATTAATATGGTGACTCATCTATCCTACCTAAACAACACACAGTTTACTCAACATTTTTTTCCTTTTTATGTAAAACTAAAACACACAACTAATACCTGGAATAAGAAGAACATAAAGAAAAGGACTCACAAGGTAAGCAAATCAAGTAATTGTAAATACAAGGAAAGCTAATCAGGTTGTCTACCAGCAATTGAATATGCTATTTATACTGGTTTTCTTACAAGAAAAAAGGAAGATCCTTGCATGATTTAATTACAGGACTTCCATCTTTCAAACTGCAAATGCCAACTGCAGTTATTTCCTTTCCAGTTGGGAGAAGTTTCTCTTCATCAAGCAGACCAACCTTCAAGATTAAAAACATTAAAAATAACTCTTTAAAAAAATTGCATTTAAAATTGAAATTAAAGTATTACAAGATGGATTTTTCCCATCAAAACCAATCAGAAGCCCTCCATACTTCTTTATATTGTACTTACAGGATATTCGTGGCCAAAAAGAGCCTGGAGAAAAGTATAAGGAGAAGCATGGATGGGCTGCAAGCGGTGATAAACTGTTGTAAGAGGTAGTGGATGTCTTGATCCTTCCATGTTCACGATGACATAATCAGATTGAGGCCACCTTCCAGTTTCAACAAGAATAAAAGGCACCTGATCAGAAGATGTAATGTAAACCAACATAATGAATATGCTGAACTTCACAAGTAAATAAGCAAGAAATCGTTATTAAGGTTACAAATTCCAGCAAATAAACTTGCAGTGAGCAGACTATCAACCATATAGCAACTTTTAACCCCATGAGCAAGTATCTGGAGCTTTCTTACATAATTCAACTCCAGGGTACTTGGATCTCCAAAAGTAAAGTGGCAGGAAAATGAGATTATACAACTACTTAGTGCAAGGACACTATGGCTGGGTTCCTTTGGAAGTTAAGAGGGAACAAATTTGAGTTTTCGATCAATTACAAGGACACTATATATCTCTATCTCGTTGGTGTACTGAATCAGGAAACTCTTCAAATATACGGATAAATAAACAACCTTTTTCAAAACTTTTTTTGCCATTTCAGAACTTCTGAATTTGAACAGGTAGCTTGGATTCTATCCAACTTATCTCCTTGGTTAAACGTCATACTTCAAGGTCAATCCCATTAGTCTCGGGAAATTCAAACCTAAGTCCATTATTATCTCCAAACATCTACCATTATTATCCCTGTACATGGAAGTGCTTGTATTGGTAAATACAAGTGAGAGTCAAATAATTGCCATCGAGAATGTACAAGGTAGCTCCAAATGCTGATAGTTCCTTGAACCAGTTTTGCTCACAATCAATCTAAAACTAAATATTCAGAAACGAACTTTGATGATAGAGCTTTAAAACAAAAAGAGTCTGACCAATACCAATATTGAATCATCAAATGCATTTACGTATTATGTATTGTTTGTGAGATGCAATACGCATAGCTTAGGGATTTGAATGAGAGCAAAAAAGAAGTGTCTAGATCAATTATTACTAGCATTATCATATTGGAAACTATGCATTGACAACGAATAAGTACTCTCTGTACAAAATCTGATAACATAAACAAACGCAGCATGTAACATGACCGAAGCACATGACTGACTTAAAAAAAAAAAATTCAAAAGGGGAAATAAAATTACTAATGATGATACCATTCTAACTGTCGATGACTCTTGCTCTTTCCATGATCTAACAAATAAAGAGCGTAAGTCAGAAGTCCATCCAAAAAATCCCCTCCACTCATTGTATATACACTGCAGTGCAAATAAAACTCAAGTTATAACCAGTACTGCCAAAAAAAAAACAGATTAGCAACTTGAAGAAAAGCTCTGGTTAATCATGAATTAAACTCTTTACCACAATATATATATATATATATAAATACACACACAGAGATAAGTTCTCTTTAATCCACTATATCTATCACTAAATTATGTACTTCCACTATCTTCTTCTCAGATACGTAACTCAAATTTAAAGTTAACCAAGTCTCCTCATGAAGATTATACATTATAAACCTAATCTCGTCCAATTAATAAATAGGGCTTATCAGATGCTAACCTCAGCATTCAACAGTAACACACACAAACTCAGAAAGGAACAGTGGCATGAAATCTGATGATTGAACAAATTTTACCGTTTGAGTTCGCAGCAAAATAACGCCTTTATCGCCAGACTCCTGAGAGACGAGGACACCGGAGGGTGCGGGCCTAAGGCTCTTCCAGTTGGTATCAAGAGCCGATTTTGCCTCGACGCAGCCGCGGACGATCACGAGCTTTCCGCTCTCGGATTGTTCTTTAGCACTATCATCGTTATCTGAGGGTAAAGTGAGGACGGAGCGGAGATCGGAGACGCGAATTGAAGGTGCCTGCTCAATTTTGCGTAGGGCAGAGGAATTCGAGGTGAATTTGAGAATACTCCGCACCGCAACGTATGCTAGGCCTAATCCTAGCACCGCACCGTCAGCCGCCAAAGCGAGCTGCGACAGCACCGCAGCTGCCGCCTGGTCGTGTACGGACATGGCCGTAAAATTCAGAAGTGGTTCATCATCGTCTGATCCCCTTTTTTTTTTTTTTTGCCCCCTTTTTCTTTTAAATCAAGCTTACGTTCCGTGAGGATTTAAGTATTTTCTTTTTCCCATCCAATAGAGCAAATGACGGAAGAATCAAAGAAGGAAGGGAGGAGGTCGTTAATGATTTATTAAGGTTAATAAAAGGAATTAAATGAGGGTATTCTGGGCAAATTAGGGAAGTTTTTTCTTTCTCTTTTTTTTTTTTTTTGGGATGTTTCATTTTATCAACATGAGATTCTAGAAGGTTTTGGACTCCCCTATTAGATTAAAATTTTTTTTTTTTAAACTTTACACCAAATATTAACAAATTTTTGGGTTTGAAAACAACCTTTAAAGACTTACAGCGACAAGGGCTTGAGCAACTAGCTAATGTCCTAATAACTAATTAGAATGAGATTCACGATAAATAAGTTAAATTTTAGCAGTTTGAATCAATAATAATAATTAAATAAAAGTTTGAGATACGTGTAGATCAAGTTACTTGAACTCAGTTATACATATTGCCTGTTTTAGTTTGATTACTATCTAATAATCATGCCAAATAAAAAAAAAAAAAGTCATGCAAAATTTGAACCAACCTGTTTTCTTTTTGCAGTTTATTTAAGAGGGGCTGTAGCCCGTGATAGTTGGATTTCCGCGAAAAAACAAGGGATCGGTAAGCACTCATTGAGGGTTTGGGCCAAGCGGTTTATTTGGAATTGGGCTTGTTACAATATACAATAATGTGTCGTTAGTATAAATACCTTTTGCCATCTTTTGAACTTTCAATTTTATCTTTATTAAAATTAATTTTTATCCTAATCATTTAATTACATTTTGCCAATATAAGCACTCATAAGTACCGAAAAATATTATAACTATCAAATTACCATAATCATATAAACAAAAGTTTTTTCATGAAAATTTTATATAAATTTTTTGTATGTAACAAACACAATTTATACAAATTTTGTTTATTTTAATTATTCTCTAATTGTACATACATTGGGTACGCTCTTAACACTAGTTTAATTATTGTGGCTTGCAGTGTAATACTAATGCAATTAGAGAGAGTGATAATTCAAGGGATAAGATTGAACCAAAGGTAAGAGGATGAAAGTTGCATTTTGTGAGTAGGTTTAGCATGCATAGTTATAAAATTCGGCTCGACCTAGCGGTTGAGCTAGTCAAACCAGTGAATCGGCTATAGGACCGAATTATGTCACCAATTAGATCGGACAAGTAACAAACTCATTAACCAGTCAATAATCCGACGATTCAATCAGCGGATTAGAAAAAACTGCCTATTGAACTGCTGACTTAAAAATTTTATTAACTTTATAATTTAAAATATATCGTTATATCATATAATATAGCTATTGCCCAACCCGTGATTGAACTGCTCAATTAGTGGTTGAACCAAAAACCCCCCACTGAATCGGTCACATCTTTGAGTCTAGCTACTATCAGAATAAAGCAAAAGCAGTTGGGCTGAACCCTAGACCTTAAGTTGTGCACTCTAGGGAACAGAGGGAAGCGGCCAGTCGGAAGAAGATCAAGGCTGAGGTTGCTTTTGCTTGTGAACCATTGCAAATTTTGCAAAAGCACTCAACTCGAACGACCGCAGGAAGCACCACTTTTTTTTTTCTTTTTTTTTTTTGGGATAAGGGATTGTCCTTTTCTCTGTTGTTCCTTTTTTTTCTTTATGTTGTTCAAAATGTCAAACAAACTTTTTCTTTACACTAAGCATTTACCAACAAAGTGCATCTGCGCTACTGTTAGACCGTGTCTCTCTTACAGACCATAAAGAGAGATCTAATTGCCACATAACAATTACAATAGTCAGTTTTGTGGAAATTTTGCCAAACAATGATCAACTCTATTTTACTCAGAGAGACTTCTTTATTTTGTGGTTGGAAGATTATGTTGTGAGGTAAGTTGGCGGAGCAACAATGCATCTTTTGTGCGTACAATATTGATATATATAGCGTTCGACTCTATCTGGGACATGCATGCATGTCTCTCAATCTGATCAGAAGATCATTTACTCCCAATCTCGTGTATAAGCTGCTGATCATACCAGTTATAATAGAAATATCTATAATCTCCCCGATATGCGGCATTTAACATATATAGTCTTGTAAGAAACGCAAATAGTAATGAGTTTCATTGGGGGGTTGTGACACAACGATGAGCTGAATAGTACTAGTGTTACAGTTTAAATCCTTGATTGAACCTGAGTAATTGGCCAGCCAAAGGGAAAGGGTACTTCGCAGCGACAATCACTACTGACTATATATATGCTACTCCAATAAATAAGGCACTTGTTCTGTGATCTCTGTCAATTCTCCTTCTGTCAAATTTAATACTATGCACCCGTGAAATGTGCATTTAGTAAATGCAAGCCATTCGTCGAGGATCTCTGTCTTTCTACTAGCGTACAACCTCCTCGTTTTGCGGAGCAATTCAATAGAAATGCTTTGATGGATTCATTCACCAAGTACGAGGATTCCAGGTTTGCTGCATGCCCGGCGTTCTCAAGTATTTCCATCTTTGCCTTTGACCCCAAATGTCTGCAAAATTAATCCAAAATTGTCGATACATATATATATATATAGTCACGGTCCTTGGATCGATGAATCGTACCAAGGTTGTAGGTCAGGAAAATTAAGGAGCAAATATAAGGGTACCTATGCAATTCACGTCCGCAAACAAGAGGGAAAACCATGTCCTTGTCACCCCAGATAAGCAATGTTCCCTTAATCACGAAGAAAGAGATCATATCATATGTGATCGCCTCTCATCCTAAAATGTAATGCATGCTTGACAAGCTAGCGGATATATCACTGTTCTTAATTTCTCTGGAAACACACACACACCTAATCTGAGATATATATATAGTGGGAGTGAGAGATATCAGAATCCACTACTGTTATCTGCCAGCATGAATGAATGCAACATTACTCACCTGATCTAAAATTGGAAGACTGCTATCTGCTTTCTTTGCTAACAAGTGTTCCACTAGCTCACTTTTCTCTTTCCTGATGGTGTTGCACATCACCTTACAAGAGGAGGATGGAAATTAAGATGATCATCTCTCATATTAACAAATCTTGAAGAAATGGGTATCTTGATTCTTAAGAAGGCGTTTTCTTTCCTTTTAAGAAAACAGATGGATCCACAAGAATGGCTCGCCTTATTTTTATTTTTTTTTTATGGTACTAGTACAATTTTATATTGTATGTTACTTTTAAGTTGATATCGAAAATTAAGTGACAAAGTGGTGGACCCAGTGGAAGCATGATTTTACAATTTATGACTGCTACGTAACCGCACATTGGACGGAACTGGATTTTCGCATGTATCAGGCTATTAGACTAGCTAGCAGCGTTATCCAGAAGAACACACGCCAGAAACGTGGAACTTTTTATCAACTTGTCCGTCCAATTGCTTCGGCTACAAGCTAGCTTGCGGTCTGGAATGGTGACAGGATTTGCAGAAGAAATGAGTTTTCTTTCTTTTTTTTTTTTTTTGTTGTTGTCGTTGTTGTTGGTGTGGGGGTGGGAAGGAACGGGTACTTAATTAATTAATTAATGACACTACTAGTCAGTAAAACTTCCAAATTCGACATTTTATTTTAACTCTTGCTATCACGGCAACCGATGAAGCATCATTAATTATTAATTAAAAAGAATAAAGAAGAAGCATGGGCTAGTGCTGAACTTACGGTGATGAACTCCCGGAGGAAATAATCTGGGACCCAGTTGATAAAATTGCAGTTGCATAAAGACAGAGTCACTAACAACCGTAGATCCGCCGGTTTCCGAGGCAGGAGTATGTCCACAGCATTCCTTCCTATATTCCTGAGATGCTCCTCCTTTTGATCTTCCGTCATCCCGATTCCGCTGCTCAGTATAACGACTTTATCCACAGCTTCAGAAGACATGGCAGCCGTCCGATAAGCCACATAGCCCCCGTAACTGATCCCGTAAATGGAGTACCTGTCCACACCCAATCTTCTCAAGCCTTCACTTAAGCACTTCGCCTGGAAAGCGTCCGTCCGGTCGGGGCTGCGGGTGTAGGATTTCCCGAAGAACAGGAGGTCGGGTATGTAGAGGTTGAAGGATCGGGCCAATGTGCCGATTTGGAATAGGAACTGAAACTTTGAGTTGCCCCCGAAGCCGTGGACTAAAACCAGATTGGGCTTGTTGATTTTCCGGTGAGCAGGGGTCCAAAAGTGCAGGGTGGTTTGCATATCCAGGTCCAGGGTGCAGGGTTGGAGATGGCAATAGCGAAAATAGACGGATAAGATTGAATCGAGCAAGGGGACGAAGATTGGTTGCCATTTGAAGTGGATGAGGGGGTTAAAAATGTTTCGAAGAATGGTGGCGTTGATGGATATGTAGAAGGAGAGGAGCTGGTGAAACCAACAACCCAATAAGTTCTCCATGGCGATAAAAGGGGCGGTTTATGCTTTGACAGTCGGTGCTTGAGGAGAACAGAACAATTGGCCGAGACCGAGAGGTTTTATCATTTAATTTTATGAGGGCATTCCGGATTCGGAAGCAAACGGCGCTCAATAAATAGTAACTGCAAGTGGAACCACGTTTTTCAATTTTTGTCTTTTTCCAATGTTGCGTTTGGTGTCGAAACGAATGGTGCGGGACATTCGAGCCGTTGTCGAGTCTTTCTCGAAAGGTGCGCGACATTGGACTTCGAGCCTTTGTGGGCCCAACAATCCAAAACCATGCAGTGCAGCCTCCTATTTCATCAGACGTAAATTAAGATGGAATATTAAGCTCATAAAATTATTATTAATCCTCTGGTGCAGTTGCAGTAGTAGGGCTAATTTCATTGTTTATAGCCGCTTGAAAAAAAAAAAAATTTTTAATTGTGGGGCTGCCGACCACACTAAGGGGGCGTTTGGTAAGAGGGTATCGGATTCGGGGAATGGAATGAACCCCATAAATGGTGTTTGGTTCACTGGAATGGGAATTGAAATCTTGGAATGATTTCTAAAAATTTGGTGTTTCTCCATTCCCAAGTATTTTGGTGGGTTTTGTCCGATTCCCAAGTTTGATTCCAAGAAACAAATCCAATTACATATTATAATTATACAATGATATAATTAATATTTATATATATTATATTTATTATATATTATAATATATACATATATATAATATATTATAATTATAATATTAGTACATTATATAAATATATATTATAATTATTTAGTTAAATATAATTATATTCATATAATATATATTATAAATTTATTAATATTATATAATAATATATTTATAATATATATGTATATTTATAAATGCATATTATATGTGCATATGATTATAATATACACATGTATATAATATTAATAAATTATATATTATATAATTATATTTATTATTTTAAATATAATAATATATAATAACTATATCTAATTAATATGCATTATATTTATATAAAATATTAGTACAATTAATATTTATATATTATATAATTATATATTTATATTTATATTATAACTTTCATATAATTATAATTAATTATATATAATATTTAATTTAATTAGTTACAAACTTATAATAATGATATTATTATATTATATAATTATATATTATAATTATTTAGTTAAATATAATTATACTTATATAATATATATTATAAATTTATTAATATTATATAATAATATATTTATAATATATATGTATATTATATGTGCGTATAATTATAATATATACATGTATGTAATATTAATAAATTATATTATTATTATTATTATTATTTTAAATATAATAATATATAATAACAACTATATTTAATATGTAATATATATTACATTTATATAAAATATTTGTATAATTAATATTTGTATATATTATATAATTATAATTGTATATTTATATTATAACATTTGTATATTTATATTTAATTATATATTTAATATTTAATTTAATTAGTTACAAACTTATAATAATAATAATATTAGTTATATATATTATATAATGTATATTAATTTGTGTAATATAATTAATATTATCAATTATACTAATAATTATACATGTTTACTAATAGAAATTATTAATCAGTTAGACTAAATTTACTAATACATTTATACTAATATATTTAATTAGTAAAAATTTCTTATATCTCATTTACAAAGAGTCAATAACTATCATTTACAATGTGATTTATAATATATTTATTATATTCCATTCCGAAAGAGTCGACGAACCAAACATCAACTATAGTAATGATACATATTCCAGGTACTTGAACCAAACAAATGTATTGGAATGAATAACCTCATTCCAAACCCAAGATATCCGATTCCGAATCCGAATCCAATTCCGACGTGCGAACCAAACGCCACCTAAGTCCGGAAACCAATCAGAAACCTTCCTAACATTCTGCTGCCCCCAAAAGTACAATTACCTTGCTTTCAATACCAAATGGTCAAAGCTGGAAATTTTTATAGGATAATTTTCACTTAGCATTCTCAAATTTAAAAAAATGTCACTTAGCATTCTCCTACTTTAAACTTTTTGTAATATTTAAAATCCATTTCAAAATATAATATTAAAAATCTCATTTTGGGAGAAAGAATACAATAATTTCATTTCAAATTTGTCCTTTTCTTATGATTTCTTAATTGTCATAATACACCAAAATTATTGCTTAAATTTTATAAATTGATCGATATAGTTCTTTAATGAAAATATATACTCTTCGTGTTTAAAAAAACTATATTTTGTCACGTCAGAATAATATAGTCAAAATAATATAGAGAAAGTTTGGATAGATAATTTTTTCAAAAAAAATTTTCGCTTGCATCATAAACACATTTCCCAATCTATCTTTTTATATTTCCAACCACCTTTTTATCTCACATACATCAAATCACAAAAAAGTACTACAGTAATCATTCCAAATAATTATTTGGAATAATACTCTATCCAAACAAAGCCATATTTTGCTGACAAAATCTATTGTCACATCAGATTATGCTGTGGTTTTATTATTGTGTTTGATTTAGTTCTATTAGTAATTTTATATCCTACATGCCTCGTGATCACATAAATGAACCAAACCCCACGTGTTTAGGTTCGAATAAGAGATGCGTGCTTTATATATTTGGTCGAAAATTTTCAAGTACGGCAAGGGAGGAAGAGTAGGCTAAGCAACGTGCTTAGCCAACTCTAGGAAAAAGAGTTTGAACCAACATAAATCAAGTACGACACCCTTTGCTTAACGGCATCCAACTCTGCAAGAATCAACGACCAATCGTTTGATTGTTTTGGCTGGCCGGAATCGTTTAAAAAAATACCTCATTCATTCAAAACAACAAATCTGAATTTGCAATGGCTTGTCATTGTCTCTCAAAGACAAAGTACGACCACATACGGGACGCCCCCACCATGTGCATGCTACTCTGTTTTTTGATCCCAATCTCCTAACTAATCAGACTTAACCCCTCCCCCCACTTCTTATTTTTTGTCTGCAACGATAGATATCCTATAATCTAAACTAACTTAATCTAGGGGAAAGGGGCAAGGGGAGATGGTCAACTAAGACCAACCACATATTGTAGCAAATTTGAAGGAGACAGGGGTTGAACCCCTGACCTCCAGCACCACCAAAGAGGGTGATGACCACTGGACCAAATGGCCAGTGGCCCCCCCTTCTTATTTGGCTGAAAGATTATATACACTACTAATCGACTACTTGCGAAACTGAAGTATGCTAGCGTCATTAATTGTTAGGAAATTGGTTTAATTTTTTTTAGTTAAGTTTTTTATTTGGTGTGGGAAGTAACTAGTTTCCTAATTGGATTTAGTTACTTGAAATAGTAGTCAAGTAAAGCCCTATTTAGCAGGAATTAGATGCTATTTCTATATGTGTTTAGGAAATAATATTGGTTTCCAATTGTTATTTGGTTTTTTGACAGTAATGTTCTCTATAAATAGGTGGGTTGGCAAACTACACAAGAGACACACAAGAGATACACAAGGGCATCATGTAGTCTTATACATGGGGTGTGAGAGAGAGTTCTTGGGAGATGAGAGATGGTATACAAGGGTTGGGTTTGGGTTCAAGTTGTATTCTTGTATAGGGTTTTCCTCTCATAATAAAGAAAGGGGTTTTCTCTCCGTGGACGTAGGCTCAATGGTGGAGCCGAACCACGTTAAATATTGTGTGTCGTCTATCTTTCATGCTTGTGGCTTGTTCCTCATTAAATTGTTGTGCACTTGATATCTCAATAATTGTTTATTCCGCACTTGGATCCTAACATTAATAGTAGACTGAAGATCCATGATTAGAAACTCAGCCACAGACTACACAATTGTAGACAGTTTTGAGGATCATAATGCGCCTCATTCACAGGAAGAATAAAATCAGGAGGATCACAATGCACAAGAACAAGATAGATGGTATAACCTTGCTGCCTTTCCTGGTTTTCAATTTCCTGAATTTTGTGACTTATGGGCGGCTACTTTCGTTGCCTGCTAAACGTGTACCTGGAGAAACTCCAACTTAAACAACATAGAAGCTATGCTATGCTGTGCTGAGAAATTGCCCATGATGCACATATCAATTCACCAGTGTTAAGCTAAAGATTGATCTCCAGAAAACTATTTCGAAGTTGCTATATACTTCCAAATATATCACAGGAACATAGAAGTTGCGATCGTGTGGAAGACTAGTAATGCATATTAGTACAACCTCACTAGTAGCATAATTTATTGTGTACACCTACTAAAACTGAGCCGTTTCCATGCCGCAGCTACCGCGGCAGCTATAGCACTTGCTCTTGAATTCTTATTCAAGAATTCAACATTAGAAGCATTAATTGGTGCAGCTAAACATTTTCAATGCTGTTAATGGTTGCACCACAATAATACTTCAAATTGCTGCTGCCATCATTGCTGACTCCTTTGCTAGCTGGCGGTTACGCTTGTCATCTGGATTTCTTCTCTCATTGCATAATTTCCGTCCCCGCTCCTATCATCTTAGTGGCTGAATCAATCTCTTTTGTAAGCTCTTTCGGTTTCCAAATTAAGCTAAATCATCACTTCAACTTCATGAACATTATGCTCCATCAAAGATTCTCGAAGAACATGAATTGCAGTTAGACTGACTAATAGCCTCTTTAACTTGATCTGATTTATAAGAACTATTTCTCAATTTGCAGGGCCTATTGATAATAGTCCTAACAGCGCCAGTAAGTGAATTGAACCTCCACACGGATCGAGCTTGCCTTCTTTAGGCTGTTGCATTGGGCCATCATCTTGGACCATGTGGATACCTCGGTCTGCCTGAGTCCTCCATTAGCCCGTTCACTCCCTGTCGACAACAGACACCTCATCTCGTAATCACCCCAGACAAGGTGATCAACGAGGTTACACTGGAGAGGCGTCCCACCTCGTCTACTCCCTTGCTCAGGACTACCAACACCTCGACCATTTGATTAACTGATAATTGATGGAGCGATTTGACTGACAGTCACTCTACTAATCAGACTTATATCTGACACCACCGTCATAGGCTACATTTTGATGT